ACTTTCACTTTCAAAGATAATGCACAGGAATGGTGGCTTCTCACTCTGGAGAAAGAAGAAATTGATTGGAGTAGTCATTTTGTTTCACATTACCGAGCAGCCGAGTTAATCATTTCCACCTCTGTTTGAAGTTCCTGTTTCACTTGGAGCCAGAGTGAACAACGGTAAGCTCTGATGAAGGCAAAAGCTGAGGGGAAAAAAAAATTCAAGAAGAAGAACAAAAATGAGAGAATAAAAATGAGAGAAAGCATATATGAATCGATTGACTGTGCATATAAGAGAGGAAAGGAAAGGAACCCGAAACATAAGAGAGGAAAGGAAAGGAACCCGAAACATAACTGTGCATAAGAACCCAGCATATATGGATTCAATAACTTTTGATTTTGAGTTCAATAACTGTGCAGAATTTGCTTCTCTCCAACCTGCTTCTCTCCAACCCACCTCTGTTAGAATTTGAATTCAGCCCACCTCTGTTTGAATTCAATAAAATGTTGACATGTGCTTCTCTCCAACCTTCTCAATTCAATTTCGTATGTGCTTCTCTCCAGCAGTTAAGAGTGCAGTAGTATTTTTCTGTCAAGCTTCACATCTCATCAGAGAGTAGGAATGGAAAGAAGACAGAGGGTATGGGGGAGACAGGGTATGGGATAGACAGAAATGTGTTGGGCGGGAAACTTTGATACATTTTGATATAAACCATTGATCTCAACCATTGATATATATTTGGAATTGATCTCAGCCATTGGATCAAAATGTATCTCACATACATTTTGATACATTTTTCAAAAAGCTTTGTGTCTTATTATATAGATGTATATATATATATAAATTGAGAAAAAATATCTTATTAGATATCTAAATATGAAAAAGAATATTTTATAAGAGACTTAACTATAGCAATACTTACCATATATACATTAACATCCTCTCAAACTCAAGATCAAACTCAAGTAGGATAAACATCTTGAGTTTGGAGAGATAAACTAAAATATGAAATAAAAAGCAAATAGATTGCAAAATTCGAACCGGAGTGCAAAGGCGCTTGAAATAGATCAGAGACCGGAACTAATGCCGAGAGACAGTTTATGGTAGTGCGGACCATGTAAAAACTGGCTGAAACTAATGTCAGAACAATTTAAGGTCGTGCCAAACCGATATAGAAACTAGCTAAAACTAATGCCGAGATCAGAGGCCGGAGCTAATGTCAAGGGACAGTTTATAGTCATGCCAAACCGTTGTAGGACATAACCGGAAGCAATGTCAGAACAATTTCCAGGGTCATGCCAGACCGTTGTAGAGATTGGCTAATCGGAATCAATGTCGAGACAGTTTAAATAAGCCATGCCAGACCGATGTAGAGAACGAAGGTTAAACTAGCAAGCGTGGCACATGCATAACTTATGAAGTGATGCTGAACAATGATAGCAACAGACGACTGAGTGCACCAAGAGGCAACTTATGAGAGAGTGCGCCAAGAAGCAGCTTAAATGATGCGCCAATAAGGCGGCTTAGAGAGTGCGAAATAGAAGACGACTTTATAGGGAGTGCACCAAAAATATGGCTTAGAGAATGTGCCAACGGAGACGGCTTAGGGAGTCTGCATGGTGTATAACTATGCTCCCCATGATATATGTATAATAACCCCCCTCAAACTCAAATAGGTTTGAAGGTAGAAACCTATTTGAGGTTGAAGCAGAAGGAAAGACAGAGTGAACTAGAAGTTAAAAAAAAAAAAAATAGAGTACGAGTAAGAAAACAAAAAAAAATAAAAATAAAAATATGATAGAGATATTTGGGGTAGAACTAAACCAGCAGACAAAGGAAAAGATCACCATGAAGCGATAGTAATAGGAAAACATGACAGCGGAATAGGTTGAGGTCCGACAGGAGGCCAAGGCAAGGTTGCCGCTCGCCGATAAGGTGAAGAACACCAAGAGCTTAACCTAAAACTCTGATACCATGTTAGAATAGTAGAGAGAGAAAGAGAGAAAATAATATGTATTGTATTGAATAAATTGTATTAAATGAATTGTCTTATGTAATAGAAGGCCTGTATATATAGGCTGAGAATGAATATCCTACTAGAAATCTAACTATGAGAGAGAGTATTCTATAAGAGACCTAACTATGGCAATACCTAATATATCAAGGAAATCAATACCTAATATATATAAAAATATATACCATATATACATTAACCGCAACTATGGTTAGAATCTTGTGTGAGTAATTTTCTTACCACACTGCCCGCCTAGTAATCAGCTGGAGGGCACCGGCAGAATAGATGGCTTCGGTAACCTGAAACAGAAAGAAAAAGGCTCCGGCGGTGGCTCTTCCACCCGGGGGCACTCCGACGATCAAGTCAGTATATCTCTCAAAGATAATCAAGTGCTAAACTCACAAGCTTGAGTATAAAACTGAGTACCTTAGACCCATAGAGGTACCTCTCTTTTATAGTTAATTCAATCCAAGTCCTACTAGAAGCATGACTTCTATAGACTTCAATTTAGTGATTACTTAGGATTTCTCAAGAGATAAAGATAAACTCCCTAAGAGCTTTATCCTTATCCTGGCTAAGTCTCCTCTTTGTCCTAGGACTCTTGTCCCTTATCCGCTTATCTCGGATTCCGATATCTTCGGAGATAACCTCGGCGTAATTTCCATGACACGTGGCACCTCGGCCAACAACGTCGGCATTGCCATGCCACGTGTTGGTACCCAATAAATATATCCCCACAACTGCCCCCTAGGTTCTATTACCTCGGCATCCTGAGGTGATGGAACCTACATCGATATTTCTTTCTGCATAGTGGCTCAAAAACTGTTTGGCCGAAATATTTTACTTTTAAGCCGATGTGTTCTCTTCGGAGAATAAGAGTTCAAATGTACTCTATCACGCGCATGAGCTGTCATGCACATCTAACCGTTCCTTTTTCGTGTTTTGTCTTTATTGGCCCGTGTCTGTGACGCGCCTACAAGCTGTCTTTTACTCGTCTGCGCCGTCTGACGTATCCGGTGCTCCAGGCGCATTAAATGCCCTGTTTTGCCGCCGTTTTAAGTTTTTTACAAAACTTTTCTTTCCCTCTTCCTTTCTTCACTTTTCGTATCCTGATTTCTTGCTTTTTCTCTCTCTAAAAGCTTTAGCATTCTTCGAATCTGCCATTGTTCTAAGCCCCAATTTCTACGACCATCTTAATTCTTCCATACCTGCAAAGCTTTTGCCATTGTTTCATCTGTCGTCTGATCTCGGCGAATATTGCTCCGGCTTCGCTTTATCTGGTAAGCAACTGGCCCCTCTTTAACTCCTTTTGTTCAGTTCTTGATTAGTTCTGGAGTTTTTCGCTATTACTGTTCTTCTTGAGTTTTATTTGCAAATCATTCACCTTAATGCGTCTTATTGCATGATTTTTTCACATGCCATGAACACTTGCACTGTTCCACCACTGTTCTTGGCCCTTAACCCTTTATATTCTTCGTGTTCTTGATAGCCCTTCCCTGTTCTTGTTTCTGAAACTTCGATTTTGTTCTCTGTTTTTTTTTTTTTTTTTTCTTTTTACCAGATCTGTGCCCTCGATCTTCGTCTTTATAATTTTAGGTTTGGGATTTGTCTGTAGAACCTTCAATCTTTAGGAAAAACTAAAATAAACCTTACCAGCCCTTTCCCAGGTTTTGAAACCGAGGTTCTAGCAACCCTTCTGAAACACCTATTTTCTGAAACACAACTTTCTGAACTTAGGCCGATGCTATGGGTATGTGGAGACATCGAGCAAATTCCCCAACAAAACTTGAATACTTTAGGCAGGAATTCTCCATCCCAGCCGATGTTCACCTTAGGCTAGCTGGGGATGATGATTCCATCATGCCCACAGATCATATGATGCCTTTTCCGATTGTAGCTTTTACTGAATGTGGACTCCGGCTTCCACTAAATCCCCTCTTTCGCGAGGTTCTCCACTACTATAGATTGAACCCTATGCAACTTACCATCAACTCTTATCGAGTGATTAACGGTATCATAGCCTTGGCCAGGCAAGAGAACGTTAGGATCACCCTTTCTGATATCCAATTTTGTTATACCATGTGCCCCCTTAACCTGAAGGAAAGAGGTTATGTCTACTACCTCAAGCCGAGGTCCACCGAGTTCAAAAATATAGCCGACCTCTCGGATTCCAACAAGGGAGTCGGGGATGACTTTGTCATTGCTTCGGGAAATTGGGAATTTGGCCCAGACGAAGATGTTCACCTCTACCCCCTTCCTCGAACAGTTAAAGAGGGCAAGGGTAAGAGCCCAGTGCCAATACTTAGTTGTTTCTTTTCCAAGTTTTCCAAAAACTCTGTCTGCTTCTAATGTTGGTTTTGTTTGTCTTGCAGATCTTCATCAGCCACCCAAAAACTTTCGTCAATCCTTCTTCCCTGGAACATACTTAAAGAAGCTTCTAGAACTTCCAGTTCAAAAGCGCAAGGCTCCCCTGTTACTAAACTTTATTCCGACATACAAATCCACATTGCCCGACGTCCCAAAAAGCAAGAAGAAGAGCCTTTCTCCACCTACCGCTACAACTTTAACCGCTTCTACATCCCGAACAGATCAAGAGTCCACATCTGACCCTATCAATCAACCATCCACTTTGGCCCCATTCTTGATCCCGATACCAGAAAGAAAATGCCGGCGACGCCTTGTCAAAACTGCCGAAATGGGTCATGCGAAGCCAGTTGCCCAAAATCTCCTTGCCGACCTTCCGACTGACGTTGACGCTGTACCATCCCAACCAATGTCCCCACCTAAACCAAAAAGAATCAAGAAGGCCCAGCCTAAGGCCAGGGCTGTTGAGGCTGAAGATAGTTGGCCTATCTCAAAACTGGCTGAGAGTAAGAAGACTTCTTCTGCTTCTGCAAAAAGGTCTGCCGAGACCCAGCCCTCTGAGTCTACCCAATCAAAGAAGCCGAGGTCTGCCTCAGCTACAACTTCGGGGTCTAAGAAATCCGATGTCCCCTGGGCACCAAAGTTGACTTTGGAGGATAGGCCAATTATGTCAACTGAGAGTGCCGACGACATTAATGTTGGTGTCGCCCTCAGTACTGCTCTTCTCCTTCCAAGCGATCTGGAGCGAAATGCTGGGTATAGCGAGTATGAAAACTACGCGCTTATGCTCCAGCACTCCGTTCAAGTAAGTGTTTCTTGTTTTGTGTTTTCTTTCTGCTTCATACTTAGAAGATTTGCTAATCACCTCTGCTTTTGTTCAGGCCATCCAGCACGCCCATTCATTTTCGATGCAATCTTTCGAAAATCGGCAAAGAGTGGTTGACATGAAGAGGGAGATCTCTGCCCTCAAAAAGGACAGTAAATCTTTTGAATCGAAGATGAAGAAATTGGAAGATCAGGCCGAGGCCGCTACTAAGGCCCAGCAAATAGACGAAGAAAAAGCAGAGTCTGCCGAGGCTATTAGAAAAGTTGCTGAGGCAGAAAAGGAGGAGTTTAAATCGAAAATGGCTCAGGCCGAGAAAGAGCTTCAAAAGGCTTTGGCCACAAAAAAAACCGAGATTGAAGAAGCTGATGAGAAGGCCTATGCCCAGGGCATGGCCGACGTCACTGAGGACTACAAACTTCAAGTTAAGCAGGCATGCAACAGGGGCTTCTCCCTTGGTTGGATGGCCCTTGCCAAAAAACTCAACATCCCAGATGACTCGCCGTTGCGCAATGCTGAAGCTGTTCCTCTCCCATTTCCTCCAAATCAAGCTGGAGAAGAATCTGAGTCTGAGCCTGAAGCCAATGATGAGGATAACGATGATGGTGATGCTCTAGTAAGGAAGCCCAAGGATGGTGGTGAGATCCAATCTCTTCCCCAAGATGATTAAATCCTAGACCTGACTCATGAAGAGGATGAGGAGTTTGTTAAGGAGGCTACTCTTGAACAAGCATCACCAGATGTCCCTCCTACCGACGATAATCTTAATCGAACACTTGCCGAAATTGATGCCGAGATCATGGCCGAGAAGGCTGCCGAGGTAGCTTTTCAAGAATCCATCGAGGTCCAAATTCAAATTGCTCCTGATGCTGAAGAATCCTAACTCCCATGTCTTTTGTACTTTTTTGTTTGTTTGGCAATATAAGTTTCCTTGTATGGCCGACGTGCCTTTTTATGAACAGTTTTTCTTATGGATGCTTCAATCTTTTAATGTCTTTTTGATTTGCTTTTGTATGGTTGTATGCCTTCTATATTTTGCCACCTTTGTGCAATCTCCTCGGGGTTATATACCTCGGGTATAATAGCATCAAACTTTTACTTGGGCAAGATTCTGACCTGCAAACTTCTCATAAATCTTGACAAGTGTGAAACATATACTACTCAATGTAAACTTTTTCTCAAGTTTCAACAAGTGTTTAAACAGTGATCTCGGTCTAACCTACTTGTAAATTGCTACAAATTTCAACAAGTGTTAACATATACTGTAAATTTTTCTCAAGTTATAACAATGACCTACTTGTAAATTGCTACAAATTTCAACAAGTGTTGATAAGGAATCAGCTTAACTCCAACTTGTAAATTGCTACAAATTTCAACAAGGGAAGATAAGGAATCAGCTTAATTCCAACTTGTAAATTGCTACGAATTTCAACAAGTGTTTAAATAATATACTTAGCTTTTA